GAAATATTAATCTCAATCTTAAAATAATGAATCCTGTGATACTCCAATACTGAAACTATGTATTGTGCCAAAACAAAAGCATTCACATTGCTAAACTCACAAACTAGTATTTAGTCACTTAGCCATAATACCAACTTACCTCATAATTTGTAATATTTTAAAATTAAGAATTAAACTAAGTCTGCCCGAAATACCTAGCCATGCTAGGTGTTCTAGTGGTACACTCTGTAATCATTATTTTACTACATGTAAACCACACAATAACCAAATTCTGTAAACTCAGCATTGTAATCCTTATAGAGAATAAACTTTGAATTTGAATTTAAATCACTCTGAGCAAGACAGTTCTGGTATCACTCTTTGCAACACAGTTCTGGCATCACTCTTAGCAACACAGTTTTGGTATCACTGATTGGAGGACAAGTGTAGACAAGCTGACCAGCACAGGTAGGCAACACTTCACAACGGAGCGAGTTATCATCCTGCCTCACAGCCATCCCTCTCAGAACATACACAACTGTCCATACCCCGGCCGGGATTGAACCCGTGGTCATAGTCTCAAAACTCCAGCCCGTCGCGTTAGCCACTGGACCAGCTAGCCACAATAAGATTCGTCCAACTAGGTATATTTCTACACCACAGGAAGGTTAGCACAGGCACCACTGTGACCACATTTGTGGTCACAGAATGATATTTTCATATTTAATTATTTCTGTAGAGCTCAAGAGACAAGATCCCTAATTATACTCACCTACACGTAGACTTATATAGATCTTTACCAATAGTAGGTGTCTTCTAGACAGTAGACATTTGTATCATCATCTCTTCAGTTTGTTGGCGTTTTCCTTTCTTACGCAGCCAGCAGTAACAGCCTGGTTGATCAGGTCCTGATCCACCATGAGGCCTGGTCACAGACCAGGTCGCGGGGGTGTTGACCCCCGGAACTCTTTCCAGGTAAACTCCAGGTAAACCTCCTCCTTGATTCGCCGGTACTCACCCGGTCCGGGTCTTTTCCAGATGGTGACCAGGCCTTGGCTTCCAGGGAAATATTCAACTTACGATAGCAAGACTGATGCCACGAGGCAGTACCAACCAAAGCATTGTCCGCAGCATAGTCTGCCTCACAAGTTGTATACCGTAGTAGACTCATTCAAACTTTGAACTCTTCAGTAGTCTAGAGGAAGTGCATGTGGACTACGAAAGCACTATCACCAAATAGCACATGATATCCTGTCCACATTAATTGTCTGAGTTTAGAAGAGGTGCCTGTCTCTCAGCATATATACACTGACTTTAATCTTTTATGCATGCCTTTAGTTATATTGATGCCTTAGTCACACAGCACTCTCACACAATTGCTACACCAGCTGCACCAACCCACTTGTGCAACTGGTTGTGCCGCTGTTGTCATATAGAGTTATGGCTCTCATCTAGAATCTGGATAATGCATCAATAATTAGATTTTTACCATTTAAGCAGAACTATGTGCTGTACTCCTTGTACTCAAATGCATCTAAGTATATAAAGCTGACACCTTAATACTCCTTAAGTCCTTGAGTTTCAATTGTGTAAGACTGTAGACAGCGGAGTCCTCTAGAGTACGACTTCGTGGATTCAAAGTGTATAATAAAAATTACCAGACATAATGAGGGCAAATTCCTAAGCCTATACCTTGACAACAACCTGAATTTCAGCACCCATATCCAACACATAACCAAAAAAGTATGCAAAACAGTTGGGATCCTCTCCAAGATACGATACTACGTGCCGCAAAATGCCCTTCTCACACTATACCACTCACTTATTTATCCATACCTCACCTATGCTATTTGTGCTTGGGGATCAACTGCAGCAACACACCTAAAGCCAATAATAACCAAACAAAAAGCTGCAGTAAGAATAATCACTAAATCCCATCCCTGGCAACACCCCCCCCACTCTTCATAGATCTAAACTTACTCCCTGTTCAGTACATCCACACTTACTACTGTGCAATCTACATCTACAGGACCTTAAACTCCAATATCAACCTTGACCTAAAACGCTTTCTTGATAGTTGTGACAGAACCCACAGGCATAACACCAGACACAAACATCTCTACGACATTCCCCGTGTCCGACTAAACCTTTACAAAAATTCAATGTATGTTAAAGCCCCTAAAATCTGGAACACCCTACCTGAGAACTCTAGAACTGCAGACACATTCATCACCTTCAAAACTACCATTAGAAAACATCTATATCTCCCTGATACACCCCATCAACTAACTACACGAATACCACCTGGTGGTTCACACTTACACTCACTCACCCATTTGACCATAAACAGAAATATTAATCTCAGTCTTAAAATAATGAATCCTGTGATACTCCAATACTGAAACTATGTACTGTGCCAAAACAAAAGCATTCACATTGCTAAATTCACAAACTAGTATTTAGTCACTTAGCCATAATACCAACTTACCTCATAATTTGTAATACTTTAAAATTAAGAATTAAACTAAGTCTGCCCGAAATGCCTAGCCATGCTAGGTGTTCTAGTGGTACACTCTGTAATCATTATTTTACTACATGTAAACCACACAATAACCAAATTCTGTAAACTCAGCATTGTAATCCCTATAGAGAATAAACTTTGAATTTGAATTTGAATTTGAATGCAAACCTCATACAAGGAGGGAGGGTGTAGAAAAAGGCGGTGACCTCTGACACTTATCAGGTGTCGGGAGTGGGGGGGGGAGACGGGCACCGGGGATAAAGCCCCCCCCCAGTTTTATAAAGTTTACATACACTGTGAAAATAATATATTTTTAAAGACGATTTTTTCCAGCGCCTTATCATTTTTAAGCTCCCCAACCTTCCCCAGAATGAAATCCTGACTGCATTGTTTAGTGTTGTTTTTTGCGTCAGGAGACAGGACGACGGTCTTCTGTCACGGGTCTTAATCACATAATCACCCGTTAATTTAATACCGAGTGTACCCGTTTACCTGGAGTTTACCTGGAAAGTTCCGGGGGTCAACGCCCCCGCGGCCCGGTCTGTGACCAGGCCTCCTGGTGGATCAGAGCCTGATCAACTAGGCTGTTACTGCTGGCTGCTCGCAATCCAACGCACGAGCCACAGCCCGGCTGATCAGGAACTGACTTTAGGTGCTTGTTCAGTGCCAGCTTGAAGACTGCCAGGGGTCTGTTGGTAATCCCCCTTATGTATGCTGGGAGGCAGTTGAACAGTCTCGGGCCCCTGACACTTATTGTATGGTCTCTTAACGTGCTAGTGACACCCCTGCTTTTCACTGGGGGGGATGGTGCATCGTCTGCCAAGTCTTTTGCTTTCGTAGTGAGTGATTTTCGTGTGCAAGTTCGGTACTAGTCCCTCTAGGATTTTCAAGGTGTATATAATCATGTATCTCTCCCTCCTGCGTTCCAGGGAATACAGGTTTAGGAACCTCAAGCGCTCCCAGTAATTGAGGTGTTTTATCTCCGTTATGCGCGCCGTGAAAGTTCTCTGTACATTTTCTAGGTCAGCAATTTCACCTGCCTTGAAAGGTGCTGTTAGTGTGCAGTAACAACAATTACTTTATCGAAAATGTAATTTAATATGAACTTTAGGGATTAAAGTGTTTCTTGACTGGTGGTGTAGAGGTGAAATGTGACCTTTAACACGCTTGTATATTGCAATAGTTTTGTTTTTTAATTCATATCTGAATAAATAACTCATTATGATTATAACCAGATATATACATGCAAATAGTTCATTACCTCTGTAACATGTTTAGCTAAGTAAGTTTATTTAGGTATAATAATAATAATAATAATAATAATAATAATAATAATAATAATAATAATAATAATAATAATAATAATAATAATAATAATAATAATATTAATAATAATAATGCTACTACTAATAATAATACTATTAATAACAATCTTTATTTCTACAAGTTCATGTACATCGACATCATGCCCAGCCTTTCTAGGGTAGGGTAGGTGCCTGAGCCCGAGCTTGCAAGGCTGTCATTCCCATTAGCTCCCTTTGGGCGGGGATGGCAGACCAGAGAGGCCTAGCTTGTGGCTAGGCCTGGGGACAGTTGGTCCCAAAGATGAGGAGGTACTTGTGCCTCCTCCCATGGGAGACTTAGGTCTGAGATACTCCCTAGACAGGGAGACAAGGCCGGGCCACCACTTGGAAAAGGCCCGGGCCGGGAGAATACCGGCGAATCTTTAATAATAATAATAATAATAATAACAGTCCTAGCTGACATCAGTAACATGCTACTATATAGAAAACCCCTTGTTATGCAGAGCATTTCGGGCAAATTACGTCAGTTTTGTCCTAGGGTGTCTGGAGTTTATCTGGAGAGAGTTCCGGGGGTCAACGCCCCCGCGGCCCGGTCTGTGACCAGACCTCCTTAGGTCAGTGTCCCAGGATGCGACCCACACCAGTCGACTAACATCCAGGTACCCATTTTACTGATGGGGAACATAGACAACAGGTGGAAAGAAACACGTCCAATGTTTCTACTCTGGCTGGGAACCGAACCCAGGCCCTCACCGTGTGAAGCGAGAGCGTTAACCACCAGGCCACCAGAGCCACTCCCTAGACAAGGAACCCAGGCCGGGTCACCATCTGGAAAAGACCCGGGCCGGGAGCGTACCGGCGAATCAAGGAGGAGTCCCAGGGTGTTAGTCGACTGGTATGGGTCGCATCCTGGGACAAAACTGACCTAATTTGCCTGTAATGCTCAGCATAACAAGCGGTTTTCTATATAATAGTATGTCATTGATGTCAGCTAGGACTGTATACGTTGTACATGTATTTGTAGAAATAAGGATATTATTATTATGTTATGTCATATGATTTATTTTAGTGCTCCCTTTTTCGTGTGTTTGAAGTGCCATTTTCTTTATAAATATGACAAACCTACGTTTCTTTTTAATCACACGATTTCTTTGAGTTAACCCTTGTGTGCGGGTTTAATGACTCGTTTTCCTTGTATGTGTCGCAGCATATTATGATTCCTTTGAGTTAGCCCTTGTATGTGTTTGATGTTCCGTTTTCTTCCAGGAGCAGCCATGCAGGGGGGCGGCGCTCCTGGGGGCGACGACGACGACCATAATAAACATGAGATGCTGCTCGCAGTTCAGACAGGTTAGTAGTTTCTCTGTTCTAGTGTGATCTGTGTTCACTCCTCCAGTGATGCTACTCTGGTGGCTCGCTCGCATTTGTGAGTCCTTAAGGCAGTTGTCCATGTTTTATTCTAGCCTAAATCTACCTAATTTATCACCAGTATCGTTACAATATTCAAGAACCTTGAAAATAATTTGCAAAATTTAATCACTACGTGGAAAATTATATGTATATTTCCTTAATAAAGCTTTAATTATTTTAAGGTCCACTGTCATATGTTGCCTCACAAATTGCAACTAAAGATGTAATGCAACATGATCTATAATGCAACATGATCTATAATGCAACATGATCTATAATGCAACATGATCTATAATGTAATACACGAATATAGATGAATATGTTGCAAAGTATTACTTGTAGTTCGTATTGATATTTAAAAATGAATTAAAATATTAGTTATATTAGATTTATAGCTTTACAAGTTATTTTACAGAAGGTAATTAGTAATGAACTCACATCTGTTGTCCTTGTTCACCTAGCAGTAAGTAGGTACCTGGGTGTTAGTCACTGTTGTGGGTCGCATTCTTACCTGGAGTTTACCTGGAGAGGGTTTCGGGGGTTAGCGTCCCCGCGGCTCGGTCTGAGACCAGGCCTCATGATGGATCAGGGTCTGATCAACCAGGCTGTTACTGCCAGCCGCACGCAAACTGACGTACGAACCACAGCCCGGTTGGTCAGGTACTGACTTTAGGTGCCTGCCCAGTGCCTTCTTGAAGACAGCCAGGGGTTTACTGGTAATCCCCTTTATGTATGCTGGGAGACAGTTGAACAGTCTTGGGCCCCGGACACTTGTTGAGTTGTCTCTCAGTGTACTCGTGGCGCCCCTGCTTTTCATCGGGGGAATGTTGCATCTCCTGCCGAGTCTTTTGCTTTCATAGGGATTGATTTTCGTGTGCAGGTTTGGTACCAATCCCTCCAGGACTTTCCAAGTGTATATTATCATGTATCTCTCTCGCCTGCGTTCGAGGGAATACAGATCAAGGATCTTCAACCGTTCCCAGTAGTTTAGTTGTCTTATTGTGCTTATATGTGCCGTGAAAGTTCTTTGTACACTCTCCTGGTCTGCATTGTCGCCAGCCTTGAAGGTGGCGGTTATTATACAGCAGTATTCCAGCCTAGAGAGCACAAGCGATTTGAAGAGAATCATCATGGGCTTGGAGTCCCTAGTTTTGAAGGTTCTCATTATCCATCCTAACATTTTCCTAGCTGATGAGGTAGATATATTGTTGTGGTCTTTGAATGGTGAGATTTCGGGCAAATTAGTTCAGTTTTGTCCCTGATCAGTTTTGTCCAGCCTAGAGAGCACAAGCGACTTGAAGAGAATCATCATGGGCTGGGGGACATTACTGAACGACCCAATGAAAATAAGACAGTCCTCGATGAAGCACACATACATACATACACACGCACGCACACAGGCACAGTCCTCGATGACGCACTGACTTTCTTTTGTTATCTTGGGTGACTAACTCTCCCACGGGTTAAAAATCCCAACAAAATATTATCTAACTATAAAGATCTAACACTCCATCATCACCCAGGAAGATTATTCAAATACCGGCTTTTATCTCCACTAGATTATGAGACCTAAATTAACATGACCCATGCAGATAGTATCGTAATTTGAAAGGTATCACTAGATTACGTATCAAAAATTAATTCTTCCCGCTGGTTTTACATTTCTTATACATGAGTACAACCATTACACAGGATGATCTGCTATGCCACCCACAATGGATTATATTAATTCAAGAAACAATTACAGACATGATATAGTGTTATTCACGTACAATCACGTACATGAATTTGATGACAAATTGTTATACGTTAGGTAGAACACTACAGACGGCATTCACGAGTAATTCTAAGCTTCCTGTAACAACAAAACAAGTAATCACAAAATAATAATCATAAAAGTATAAAATTTTAAGAGAAATTGGCAGGGTTGAATGGGAGATAGTGTTTGAGAGGCAGCCAAGGTAGTGGAACACACACGAGAATTAAAAGATGAGAAACAGGAACCATATAAAATAATCAATTATTTCAGTATCAGCATGGTAGAATAATGGAATATGCTAGACGTGTGGAGAACTTCCAGATAAAGTTCCACTATGAGGTACTGTAGGTTCAAAGAGGTCAGAACACGCACATGTACACAGGTGAGTACACAAACACACACACACACACACACACACACACACACACACACACACACACACACACACCACACACACACACACACACACACACACACACACACACACACACACAACAAAAGCTGGAGGACCAGGCAGGTATAACAGTGAAGGCACTGCAGTGGATTAGAGAATACCTGAAGGAAGGCAGCAGAGACTCATGGTACGTGACGAGGTGTCATAGCGAGCGTGTGACGAGGGAGGTTCCACAGGGCTCAGTTGTAGGGCCGCAGAAAACAATATGATGTTCAATAAGGAGAAATTTCAATTACTCCCATAATGAAAGCTTGGGGAAATTAAACTATCGGAGCATAAAAGAAATTCCAACCACACAATAGTGCGGAAAACTAATGTAAAGGACCTGGGAGCAATGGCGGCTCGTACCTAAAATTAGTGGAGGTGCTGCTTCAGAAAATTTTTAGCCATTGTTTTAATATTGTGTAAAATAAAAGAACTAAAAAAAAACTATGAATTAAATAAAATAGCTGTAAGCATCATCTAATTCTACACTATCACATTCAAGAATATGGAACGTACATTGTTTTTAAGCACAACACATGTCGCTGAGTCAAAAAGAAACACTGATTTACACTTGCACAACAAGGTCGGCACTGCGTCAGTGACAGTGCTCTCTCTACCTAGCGTGCAGCGTCTTATCTCGGACATGTGTGCATGCGCACAACAGCCAAACACAACCTGGAACTGTGAAGCACACAGTTCCTTACAAGGATTTATGTAATATTTGCATGTACATGTACTAGGGGATGGCTAATGACATTAAGCTTAAGGATTATATAATGTACAAGTCTAAAGAAAGAATTAAAGAAAAAAAAGACTCATTATATTGAATGTTATCGATAATATCGAGTGAAAATAGGGGTGCAGCAGTTCCACAGCCGGGCTGTAGTTCGTACGTCGGTTTACGTGCGGCCAGTAGTAACAGCCTGGTTAATCGGGTCCTCGTCCACTATGAGGCCTTGTCACAGACCGGGCCACGGGGACGTTGACCCCTGGAACACTCTCCAGATATACTCCAGGTAATGGTATGGCATCCCTTGTTTTGAAGATTCTCATTATCCATTCAATCATTTTCCTCACAGATATGATAGTTATATCTTGTTGAAGGTTGTGTCGAGTCACCATCTTATTTATTTTTTATTGCTTCTGTTCATTCTAGTCTCTTGGTCATTTATAAGTTATATAATATTTTCACATTTTTTTGGTCCTTTACATATATATAAGTTTCTTTAAGGTAAACTTTATTGTTATAAGTAATTTTTAATACACATTCTAATTTGCCGTTTTCGCTATTTTTCTTGGTTTCTCTGTTGTATATATAATGGAAAGTAAGCAATGGTCCTCAGAGTTTCCTCTAACTTTAATATTATATGCAAATCAATCACAAACAGGAGATCTTAACAATGCAGAATAAGCCACATGGAGATAGAAATCTTTAGCTCTAGATCTCTGGCATTCTCGTGCGTCGTCAGGAGCTATGCAATGTTGCAAGACAGCAACAGATTGGAGGGGAAATTCTCTGAGACGAGGCAGAAGGTATCAGTGGTAAACCATGTATGTCACTGATACCTTCTGCCTTGCATAGGAAAATTTCCCATTCTATCTGTTGTCTTGCAACATTGCACAGCTCCTGACGACGGACAAGAGTGCGAAAGATCTCACTTCTAGAGCTAAAAATTTCCATCCCCATGTGGCTTGTTCTGCATTAAATATTACGTATATGAATAACATCCTCATTACATGACCTCCAGTAATTGCTTCGTCAGTCATGATGGTCTAGTTTTATCCTCATTATATTTCTTGAAATACTGTTCTTCTCAAAACGATATACAAGACTTCGTTTTAAAAATCTACCTGTTTCCTCGTCATTCTTTACATCTAAAAGTTGAATGCTGTTTAGCATTAGTAACTGGGCACATCTTTTCAGAATTTGTTGCTCTGGTGTTGAAATTGTCAATAATATTGCTTCGGATATCGAAGTTTGGGTTCCCTTTAAAGTGTAAATATCGAACATAGACTTAAATCACCATCTTTCATAAGAATGTGATCTTCAGCGATGATTCTGATCACTAGATACAAAGTTTTTTTTTTTTTTTGCAACCGATACTCTGAAATAAATCTTATTTCTTTTTTTTTTCCAGGTGATGAGGAAAAACTTAGCCAAGCACTGAAACATCTGTCTCAGAAATGTATGAACCATGTGTTCCCACATCCCGTTTACGCCACAGCTCTCCACGTCGCCACGCAGAATAATTCTACAGAGCTGGTGGAAATCCTTCTCAAGGCTGGAGCTGATCCTAATGCTAGGGTATGTGTTTTCTGTGGAAATTTTTTCATATATGATTAATGGAAGGATGACACTTCACTATCATCCATTCACTCACTGTCTTGGCAGCAGTGTACCGACATCACAGCTCAAATGACCCTCAGAGCTGCACCAGTCACTTCATAAAAACCATTTGTCTTCATTCATTTCTATATAATACTCTCGTACAAGCCTGTTGGTTGTCTAGTCTACTAACAATCAATACATCTCTTTCCCACCACCCCTGATGTATATATGCCCTCCTAGTCATCCTGTCTTGCTTCAGTCTCTCTAAATGTCCAAACCAAGCTCTCTGACAAATACTTTTGGGAACCACACATCGTGTAATCTCCATCCTCCGATTTCTCAGCATAATATTTACACCGCACATTGCCATTCAACACATCATCTCCGTTGCCTCCAGCCTCCTCCTTGCAGCAACCTTTGAAACCTCTGCTGTATACCCATACAAATGTTGGTATCACTGGTACATTTCCCTTTTTTTGCATCCATGGATAAGTTTCTCTGTTTTCACAGATTCATCAGTGCACCATTAAGTTTTTCTCCCCTGGCCAGGTCTGTGACTCACTTCATCTTTCGTAGATGTGTCCAATGACAAGTTCACTCCCAGATCCCTGAGCACATTTACTTCTTCCATATACCCTCCCATCTGTCTAATATTCAATTTCTCATTACCTATATTTTTGATACTGTCATCCCCTTTGCTCTTTCCTATATTTAGTTTTAATTTTCTTTTTTTACATACTCTCCCAAATACGTCTACCTTCGCAACTTCTCTTCAGAATTTCTAAAAGAATCATGTCATTGACAAAAAGCAAATGTGACAACTTCAACGTAGTATCAGATTCGTTATTTTTTAATCTCATTCCTTTTCCCAACACCCTGGTGTTTGCTTCTTTAACTTCCCCATGTATAAATATGTTAAACAACCATGGTGGCATCTCTCCTCCATGTACTCTAACTGGAGGCTCATCATCCAGATAATAACTCTTAACAGCTTTTAATAACCAACCATCTTCCCCATACATTTGCAGCATCTGTCATATTTCTCTCTAATCCACCCTATCATATGCCTTTTCTAAATCTATAAAATCAACAAAAAGTTTTTAATCTTTATCAAAGAATTATTCCTGTAATCAATAGTAGTGGATTTGTAATCAAATCCACTACTATTCTTATAGTCTCCATGTTTATCTGCAGTACAACCCTGTTTTACCTTTAATTCTTTCAATAATAACTAGACCATACACTCTACCTGGTATACTCAACAGACTTATTTCCCTATATTTTTTGCACTCTCTTTTGTCCCCTTTTCCCTTATACAAAGAAATTAAACATACTGCCTACCAATCCCTAGGCACCTTTCCCCTTCATACATATATTGAACAAATTCACCAACTTTTCTAGAATATTCTCTTCTGTTAATATTTGTCTTGATACCATCTTTCCTGGCTGTACTACGTCATTTCATTCTATCCTCTGCCTCTATCATCTCCCAACACTCACATCTGGCTCTTCCTCACTCCTAGATAATATACCTTCCTTCCTACTGCATAAAATAATTCCCTCTCTTCAACAACTCCTCAAAATATTCACCCAGTCTTTTCAATATCTCCAGCAAAATTTGCTGATAATACCAACTCTCACTGGCTCTTCTGTACTCCACCACCACTCTTTTAACCTCTCTTTTAACCTCTCTTTTATTCTATATTTACTGTCCTAGATTAAGCAGCTGAAAAATCCGAACTAGAGAAATGTACTAAGAACCTTCACTCTCCATGTAAATTCAGTTAATCACCTAAATTATTGAGAATGCTTGAAGTTCCTTGAACTCTAATCCTTGGAATACAAGCAACAAAAATACATCATAATTAATTCTGAAGGGACTAATCTCAAATCTGTACACCTAAATTACTTCCCAGGAAAGCAAAAGGCAAAAATGCCTCTATACATTACGGGAATTACCAGTAGACCCCTGACTGCCATTAAGAGGGAACTGGATAAGTTCCTCAAGTTAGTTCCTGATCACCTGAGCTGTCATTTGAATGTCTGATTACATGGAGCTAGCAACAACAGCCTGGATGATCAGGTCATCAGACCAGGAGGCCTTCTCTGGGACAGAAGAGGTGATGGCCTGAAACTGTCTTCAGGTAACCCTCAAGTAGACAGATTTTGTTGGGAGTACCAGGAGAGGAGAGTTAGTAAGCCAAGATTACCCAATAAACTCAGCATGTCAAGGTGGACTGTTTCTTATTTCCATTGAGGTTCTTAAATCCTCTTCCCCAGGACGCGACCCACACCAGTAGTCTAACACCCAGGTACCCACTTACTGCCAGATTAACAGGGGCAGCAGGTGTAAGGAGACATGAACAACATTTTCACTAGCCTGGGGAACAAGCCCCAGTCCCTACCAAGCTGAGGTCACTACCAAGCTGAGGTCCCTACCAAGCTGAGGTCCCTACCAAGCTGAGGTCACTACCAAGCTGAGGTCACTACCAAGCTGAGGTCCCTACCAAGCTGAGGCCACTACCAAGCTGAGGTCCCTACCAAGCTGAGGTCCCTACCAAGCTGAGGTCCCTACCAAGCTGAGGTCCCTATCAAGCTGAGGTCCCTACCAAACTGAGGCCACTACCAAGCTGAGGTCCCCTTCCAAGCTGAGGTCCCTACCAAGCTGAGGTCCCTACCAAGCTGAGGTACCTACCAAGCTGAGGTCCCAACCAAGCTGAGGTCCCTACCAAGCTGAGGTCTCTACCAAGCTGAGGTCACTACCAAGCTGAGGTCCCTACCAGGCTGAGGTCACTACCAAGCTGAGGTCACTACCAAGCTGAGGTCACTCCCAAGCTGAGGTCACTACCAAGCTGAGGTCACTACCAAGCTGAGGTCACTACCAAGCTGAGGTCACTACCAAGCTGAGGTCACTACCAAGATGAGGTCACTACCAAGCTGAGGTCACTACCAAGCTGAGGTCACTACCAAGATGAGGTCACTACCAAGCTGAGGTCACTACCAAGCTGATGTCACTATCAAGCTGAGATCCCTACCAAGCTGAGGTCACTACCAAGCTGAGGTCCCTACCAAGCTGAGGTCACTACCAAGCTGAGGTCACTACCAAGCTGAGGTCACTACCAAGCTGAGGTCACTACCATGCTGAGGTCACTACCAAGCTGAGGTCACTACCAAGCTGAGATCACTACCAAGATGAGGTCACTACCAAGCTGAGGTCACTACCAAGCTGAGATCCCTACCATGCTGAGGTCACTACCAAGCTGAGGTCACTACCAAGATGAGGACACTACCAAGATGAGGTCACTACCAAGCTGAGGTCACTACCAAGCCGAGGTCCTACCAAGCTGAGGTCACTACCAAGCTGAGGTCACTACCAAGCTGAGGTCACTACCAAGCTGAGGTCACTACCAAGCTGAGGTCCCTACCAAGCTGAGGTCACTACTAAGCTGAAGTCACTACCAAGCTGAGGTCACTACCAAGCTGAGGTCACTACCAAGATGAGGTCACTACCAAGCTGAGGTCACTACCAAGCTGAGGTCACTACCAAGCTGAGGTCACTACCAAGCTGAGGTCACTACCAAGATGAGGTCACTACCAAGCTGAGGTCACTACCAAGCTGAGGTCACTACCAAGCTGAGGTCACTATCAAGATGAGGTCACTACCAAGCTGAGGTCACTACCAAGATGAGGTCACTACCAAGCTGAGGTCACTACCAAGCTGAGGTCCTACCAAGCTGAGGTCACTACCAAGCTGAGGTCCCTACCAAGCTGAGGTCACTACCAAGCTGAGGTCACTACCAAGCTGAAGTCACTACAAGCTGAGGTCACTACCAAGCTGAGGTCACTACCAAGTGAGGTCACTACCAAGCTGAGGTCACTACCAAGCTGAGGTCACTACCAAGCTGAGGTCACTACCAAAATGAGGTCACTACCAAGCTGAGGTCACTACCAAGCTGAGGTCACTACCAAGCTGAGGTCACTACCAAGTGAGGTCACTACCAGATGAGGTCACTACCAAGCTGAGGTCACTACCAAGCTGAGGTCACTACCAAGCTGAGGTCCCTACCAAGCTGAGGTCACTATCAAGATGAGGTCACTACCAAGCTAAGGTCACTACCAAGATGAGGTCACTACCAAACTGAGGTCACTACCAAGCTGAGGTCACTACCAAGCTGAGGTCACTACCAAGCTGAGGTCCCTACCAAGCTGAGGTCCCTACCAAGCTGAGGTCACTACCATGCTGAGGTCACTACCAAGCTGAGGTCACTACCAAGCTGAGATCACTACCAAGATGAGGTCACTACCAAGCTGAGGTCACTACCAAGCTGAGATCCCTACCATGCTGAGGTCACTACCAAGCTGAGGTCACTACCAAGATGAGGACACTACCAAGATGAGGTCACTACCAAGCTGAGGTCACTACCAAGCCGAGGTCCTACCAAGCTGAGGTCACTACCAAGCTGAGGTCACTACCAAGCTGAGGTCACTACCAAGCTGAGGTCACTACCAAGCTGAGGTCCCTACCAAGCTGAGGTCACTACTAAGCTGAGGTCACTACCAAGCTGAGGTCACTACCAAGCTGAGGTCACTACCAAGATGAGGTCACTACCAAGCTGAGGTCACTACCAAGCTGAGGTCACTACCAAGCTGAGGTCACTATCAAGATGAGGTCACTACCAAGCTGAGGTCACTACCAAGATGAGGTCACTACCAAGCTGAGGTCACTACCAAGCTGAGGTCCCTACCAAGCTGAGGTCACTACCAAGCTGAGGTCACTACCAAGCTGAAGTCACTACCAAGCTGAGGTCACTACCAAGCTGAGGTCACTACCAAGCTGAGGTCACTACCAAGTGACGGTCACTACCAAGCTGAGGTCACTACCAAGCTGAGGTAACTACCAAGCTGAGGTCACTACCAAGCTGAGGTCACTACCAAGCTGAGGTCACTACCAAGATGAGGTCACTACCAAGCTGAGGTCACTACCAAGCTGAGGTCCCTACCAAGCTGAGGTCACTATCAAGATGAGGTCACTACCAAGCTAAGGTCACTACCAAGATGAGGTCACTACCAAGCTGAGGTCACTACCAAGCTGAGGTCACTACCAAGCTGAGGTCACTACCAAGCTGAGTCCCTACCAACTGAGGTCACTACCAAGCTGAGGTCACTACCAAGCTGAGGTCCTACCAAGCTGAGGTCACTACCAAAGCTGAGGTCACTACAAGCTGAGGTCACTACAAGCTGAGGTCACTACCAAGATGAGGGTCACTACCAAGCTGAGGTCAACTACCAAGCTGAGGTCACTACCAAGCTGAGGTCACTACCAAGCTGAGGTCACTACCAAGCTGAGGTCACTACCAAGATGAGGTCACTACCAAGCTGAGGTCACTACCAAGCTGAGGTCACTACCAAGCTGAGGTCACTACCAAGCTGAGGTCACTACCAAGCTGAGGTCACTACCAAGATGAGGTCACTACCAAGCTGAGGTCACTACCAAGCTAAGGTCGAGCCACCAGTAACCTACCATTAATTAAAAAAAATACTCGAGATATAAGTCTTTATAAAAATAAGAGAACGTATTTAAATCTTTTTTTTTATTTGTTTATGGGACGTTACTTCCTTGTTAGTGTCTCAAAGTTGACATTAAAATAACTGCTTAAAATGACTTATTGTTTGCTCTTCTACCTCATGGTGCACCTGGAGTGTACCTGGAGAGGTTTTCGGGGGTCAACGCCCCCGCGACTCTGAAACCAGACCTCGTGGTGGATCAGGATCTGATCAACCAGGCTGTTACCACTGGCCGCACGCAAACTGACGTACGAACCACAGCCCAGCTGGTTAGGTACTGACTTTAGGTGCCTGTACAGTGCCTTCTTGAAGACAGTCAGGGGTCTATGCTAGGAGGCAGTTGAACAGTCTTGGGTCCCTGACACTTACTGCGTTGTCTCTCAGTGTACTCGTTGCGCCCCTGATTTTCATAGGGGGAATATTGTATCTCCTGCCCTGTCTTTTGGTTTCATGCTGGTTTACAGTCCTATATGTAATCTGTATAACATAATATAAATAATAACGCCCTTTTTGTAACTGTTTTTGACCAAATATTTTTCCAGTGCTTCAAAAGATTTTTCAAACATTTTGTTGTAGACTATGCATTTAATTTTTTTTTTTTAATTCAAGTGGTTTCTTTCATCTGCAAAAGTCTTAACAGATTATTATGTTACAATTTGTTATTGTTACTTTTCGAAATGCTTTTCAACTTTTAATGTTTTCTTTGTTTAATTATAAAAGTTGAAAATTAATATATCTCACTATACAGCTATAATACTTTTTTTTATATTTGTTTTCACAATTTATTTTAGCTGTTTTGGCGTTAAAATATTTTATCTTTTGCCCCACAACGATTTTCATTCACAAATCATAAAAATTAGAGACTTGTAATTCATAAATAAATCATTTCCGTCTCACACTATCCCGTAAGTACAGAACTTTGTCTGTGTTGTTTCTGCTTGAACAGACATTTTACACTTTCCTGTCATATATGTCTTAATACTGTTCAGTTAACTTTAAAGAGAGTTATATGCATGTACATTTATGTTTCCTATAAACATACGCTTTTCCAATGTGTACAACTCCTGAATTTGTTCATTGTTCTCGAGCATTTTGTCATTACTAGCCTATCTGACATATTATATTTCCACAGGATCTTCGGGGGAAGAAGTACTGCCCAATCCATTATGCTGCACATAATGGAAACTTAGAAATTCTTCAAGCTCTTCTGAAAGCAGGTGCTGATCCTAATATAAAGGAAGGTGAGTTTGGTCGCACGTCGCTGCACATCCTAGCTACTCGATGGAAGACTAACGAAGATAATTTTAAAGCTTGTCTTGATGCTCTTCTGTCGTGCAAGAAAATTAAAGTGGACACTTTAGATAGCAGTAAATCTTCCCCTCTATTTATGGCTGCTACTAAGAGTTGGGAGTATATGACACGTCAGCTGATTCTTAAAGGAGCTAGTGTTGATACTGCTGTTGGAAATAAGACAACAGCTGATATTATCCGCAAGAAGTTACCTGATCTTCTTGAAACAATTGATTTCTCTGTGATTGAAAAGCCTCAACGATATTACAGTGATGAGTTATATGATGCCCTGATGGATGGTGATTTGGAGGTATTTCGGGATATTCTTAATGAAATTAATAAGTTAGAGGAGAAATCTAAAGCTTACATAGCTTCTTTACTTGATGAAGATCATGGAGAGTATACACTTCTACAGTATGCATGTGACAATGGTTTGGCTGACTTTGTAGAAGAACTGTTGAAGAATGGGGCTAATCCAGCAAGGATAGATGACACAAGCAAAATGTCTCCAATCCTCTATGCTACTAGGAATGGATTTCACAAGATTGTGGAAATGCTTATCAGAGCCATGAAAGAACGAGGTGAATTAGAGAAAGGTGCTCTGAAGCTAACAGATTTACGGAAAGAAACTCCTTTACACAAAGTGGTAAAGAGAGAGTATCCACTGCAGAATGAAGGAGTAAACTACTACCGATGTCTGCAAATCCTCTTGGATAAGAAGTGCTATCTAGACATTGATGCCCAGGATGAATTTGACAATACCCCGCTTCACTATGCTGTTCTTTGTGACGACCAGAGCTTTGTCCGTATATTGTTGCTAAACGGAGCTCATTTAGGTATCCGAAACAAATTTGGAACTCTTGCAATTACCCGAATCCAGCCATCTGTGCTTGAGGAAGTTCTTAATGACTGCATTAAGCACAGGAACAATGTTGCTGACCGTGACTTTGAAATCATCCTTCATTACAGTATGCTGGCTCCAGCACAGGCTTCTCAACAGCCAGAAACTGAATGTCTGCGATTCCTGAGTGGATCACGGAAACATAGGCGATTGCTGCGGCATCCCATCATTGACACTTTCCTCTTCCTTAAGTGGCAGAGAATTAGGCAGTACTACTTTTTCAATATCTTTGCTTATACAGCTTTCCTTATTCTTCTAACAGCTTATGTTCTTATCTATCATGGAACATTTGTTCCTCCATCAGAAGACACTAAACAGAATAATACTGATTTATCTGGATCAGATAATACTACAGAAAATTTGGAAGTTGTTAGAGAGATATTCATGGAGAATCTGGCTGTCAAATTTGTCTTCAAAGGCTTAATTTCGCTTTTTGCCCTCTATATAGCAGTTCGAGAAGGCATCCAGTTTTTTGTTTCATGGAAGCTGTATGTCTCACGGCTAGAAAATTGGCTAGAAATCTCTATTGTTTTGCTAACTGCTACTCTTCTTTTCATACCAATGGGTGATAAACCATTACAGAGTCTCTCTGCATGGTTGGTCCTCTTCTCGTGGATTGAATTCATTCTCTTACTTGGCCGCCACCCTTATCTTGCAGTGTACATCACCATGTTTACAACAGTCACATATAACTTCCTAAAATTTATCATCATGTTCTCCTTCATGATAATTGCTTTCAGTATCAGTTTCTATCTGGTATTCCAGGTTGATGACAACTTCATGACATACCATCAGTCTCTGTTAAAGACCATTGCTATGACAACAGGTGAAATAGAGTACACAGAACTCCCTCTTTCAACCTTTCCTATATCATCACATCTCTTATTTGTGTTGTTTGTATTCCTGATCGTTTTGGTGTTAATGAACCTTCTCAACGGTCTGGCTGTCAGTGATATCCAGCAGATCCAGCAAGAAGCTGAAATTGTTAGTTATAGCAGCCGTGTAGAACTTATTTCCTACATTGAGTCTGTATTTTTAGCAAGCCCAATCAGGCGAATTGTCCCAGGACCAATCACATGTTGTGAATCTGGCTCTGATGACTGCTACCTTGTATCTTGTCTGGACTCACCCAACCCAGTACTGAAGCTTCTTAATTGGATGGGTCGAAGGACCCTCATGTTTCACTCCTGCTTGCGTGATCCTTATATAACTGTCTATCCCAATCGTGGTTCTGATCGCTGGCATGTCTGCGACTGTCACTCTTTCCACCTCAAGGAAACTCAGATTGAAGCAGCAAAGGATGTGGTTCTTGAGAAGGAGCAAGCAGTTGCAAACCATCGTCTGTCTGGTTTGGAAAACCGCCTTGAAGAAGTAATGACAGCCATTACCACACTGACAGACAAAGTAAACAAACATGTTCTTTGTCCATCTCCTCAATGACTAGTGACAGCCTCAGAAACCCTCCCAGAAGTTATCACTTAACTAATGTACTTAGATCTCAGTGTGTGTGCTTAACAATACCATGTATTACCTAGTGTTTCTTATTAACATACGTACCAGCTGATGTTTCTGTATTATTTTCTACATTTATAGACATTCTTCAAGTTATATTGTCTTAAAGTCCAAGATGATTAATTAAGATAATTTCCCTATTGCAGTTGATATCTATTATTTACAAACAATTTCTTGATGAAATATACAAGTCTGTGAATTTATCATTTATTAACATTACGCTTTACATCATGACACACTGTAATGTATTTTGATTTATGGATTTTAAAAATACTTGATTTCATTCGGAAAAGAATAAGACTTAAGTAATAATTTAATGAGTCTTAATAATTGAGCTGCATTTTGTGATAATACCTAGGCTAAGGAAAACATTTATAGTAGTATTAAGAATATTAGTTTTAAGTTATTATTGTAGTCTATGTAGAGAATGTGTTCTGAGAGTATTCCCTCCAGAGATGTGGACTTAAATACTAATATATAAAAGGACTGGTGTTTTACAGTCATGAGACTGTAAAATCAATTTTGTATACAGTAGAAAGTTTAGATTTTAATTTCCATTCTTGCATGAAAAGTTATAATTTTGTACTTAATTGTTTTTTAGTGTTGAGTATAGAATTTATGAGATGGATTTTGCAAAATGTAAAACCTAACGTTGCAGTTTTTTGATAATAATGTACCATGTAAATGAAAAGCATAAAGACTTTCATTTAAAGAAATCTAATATAATTTGTGTGTATGTAGAGGTGCTTAATTTTACAGGTTACTCAAGATTTACCAGCTGTGGTTTACCTGGAAACCTGGAGTTTACCTGTGGTGTTTGCAAAATCTTCATTAGTTATTTTTTTATGTATTGCAAAGTTGCCTTTTTTTATATACATTAATGTACCTTTTACTTTTGAAAGAAATATGTTGATATAACAGGATAGAACCTGATATATTCATTACCTCTCCTGTAGACCCATGGATGCAAGTACAACAGACAGAAATCTTTAATATTCTGTCATGCCTTACAACAGACATCAGCAGGCTTAAGATTATGTAATGTCCAAAAGATATTTTGATTTTATTTACATTTTACATTGGCTTTTTGGTAGTTAGTTATATGTTAAACTACTAGTTACCGATTGTTTATTATTATACTAGTATCCCCTTTATTCCACATTCTTTTATTATCTGACAATAAAAATAATTGTGACTGATTTTTAATCATCTGATGTTTTCAGCTTACAAGAGTAAGAACCTGTTTTCATATTGACAACTTTACTGTTAATCTAACTTTAGTTCGAGTGGTCACACAGGGATGGCAGGAACTGCTGGCTGGATGCTTCTGAAAAGTTGTTTACACAAAAATGGTAGAAATAGAAATTTATTTTCATAGGAATCTCATAAAAATCCAATTGATTTTGTGTATGAAAACACTCAAAAAGTTCTAAGCATGTATTGGTAAACATAAATATAATGGGTCAGATTATTCTTATTTCACTGAAGGAAGCAGCTTTTGCATTTGTTTTCCATAATAGTGTGCAAGTAAAATCTGTTTATAACAGTGTTTGGATGATAATTTGTGAAATTAAGCTATTTGTGTTAGGAATATATTCTTTTAAAGTCTGCTGTTCCAGCAAACTCAGAGTAGAGCATTTCTTAGTATCCCTCGCTTCCTTCCTTGTTGAGTTTAATGGCTATTGACCTATAAAGAGGTCATTAGGACAGAGCGTTCTATTTTATGAACTGACTCAAGATCACCTAGCAGCAGAGGAAGGAACAAAGAAGAAGCAACCTATGACTACCTGAATGTTAACAACATAAACGAGGAAATGTAGTGTGGATTGTCAGTTTTAGTGTGAGGTGAATGATGTAGACTTATGTTTTAGGTTTTCCTAGTCAAAAGAAGTTACACGAAAAAACACAACGTACATTAAATATGAAAGCATGGGAGAGGTGCCTAAGTAGATGAGGAGGCAGAAAGTCAAATTCACAAGTATGATGTGTGTAGTAGCAGGAAGGGACCACTAGGCATGAGGTAAGATAGGGAAAGATGTTACCTACACATAAATGAGTATGTACAGGTACAAGAACATAAACTACATCACCTTGATCAAATCTGTCTCTATGAGGAATTGAATCAGGGTGCTGAATGATGATGATGGATGGATAGTTATCATGGAGATAGGAGTCAGCTGTGAACGGGAGGCATTTCCATTCACAGAGACGAAGGAGAGAATGAGGAGGATGTAGAGAGAACAGGATGTGGGATAGGATGAAGAAACTGCTGCAGGAACACTGTGGGGGAGACTGACGTTTGAAATGGAGCTTGAGGTGAGTGAGGTAGATGCAGTTGAAACAAAAACAGGCCAGTACAGCTCCCTCACTCACAACGGTTGAGATGATTAAAGGAAGGCTAGTTAGCTATGGATGGTTTGAACTTTTGTATAGTCAGTATGGTCTGCTGACTTTACCACAGAAGGTTGATAAATTTCTTCCCCATAGAGAATAGTGCCTCTGGTTCCAGAGGACCCAAGAAATCCCCAAGGGTTAGAATAATGTAAACTGGGGCAGTAGTAGCAAAAAATCTCAAAACCCCACCGCATTACCTAACGTTGGACAGATATAATGGAAAGTTGAAACCACCCAGCTGAAAATTGTGCATTGGAAGAAGAATGCCACAGTGCACAATCATTAGCATACAGTGAGTATTTAAGGTTTTATGGGATAGAAGCTAGAGACAATGTAACTGATCAAGACAAAAAAAAGTTGGGCTGAGCATACAGCCCTGTTACCCCATTCTCTTGGGCAATTTTTCCCAAGTTATTTTATGCAAAAGGAGGACAGGAAAAGTCCCATTCATCAAGAAATTGTCATTGACCAGGGTAAGTGACCTCTTTTACCAAAAGCATAAAGTTAGATAAGTATTCCCAGTCGCAATGCCATGTCAAAGGCTTTCTCAACATCTAGAAAAATAACATTAACAAAATACTTGCAGCTGAAAACCTGAAAAATATCATGCTCTGAACTCATTAAATGATCGAGTGTGCATCTGTGAGGGCAGTCGGTCAAAACAATAGACCAGAAAAGACAAAGGTCCATTATTCTCCCGGGCTTTCTGAGAATTGGCATATGTGCAAAACACCACTAGTGTCAAAATATACAAGATGCCTAAATCTTGTTGTACATTGCAGGCAACTTAATCAGACTTAACTAATTAAAACACGGTAGCATGACATACTTCTTTCCAGGACTGGGGCTTCTACCTTCACAGGATTTTAAGGCGGTGGGATGACCAATGGTAAAGTCTGTGAGTGTAAGGTTACAACTTTATAATGTAAAAATGCAGGATGATAACTGGCCGAGCTTCTGGTTTGGAAAGCAAGATACCTGGCGGTGGTGCTAGCTATGTTCACCAGAAAATCAATAATGACACTGTTGACCTTAAGGGAAGATATGGGGTGTCTGGCTCTTTTCTTGGTAATGTAATTGATAGAAGACAAGATGTACCTAATGGGCATGTCTCTGGTAAAAGTAAAAACAATCTCACCATGAGCTGCATTTGGTGTGTTGGATGGTATGCTTTGCCTGAGGCCAGGCAAATATAATCAATGAAATGTTTAGTAGACTCTTTGTCGAAAATCCTGTAATGTCTGTTATGATGACTAAGTATCTTACAGCTCTCAGGTGCTCAGAGAATCTCAGGCTTGTGTGGAACAACTGAGGTCTTACAAATAGCTGGCTCAGCAGCCTTAATTAATAATTAAACTTTGGAGTCACTGTCGTCTCTGAATAGAAGAAGAGTGACAATCCTGGAGAATAGCTTCAATCTGCTTTCTTGAAGCTGAACTAGTGAAGAAAGAGAAGTGTCGCCAGTATGTGAAATGCGGATCAGGAAATGGTTGGATCCCAGGGAGACGTCATAAATGCCAAGGTGAAGATGCAATATCCGAAGAAGACCAGGATAAATCTATTGCAGAAATATTATCAGTTTGACTATTGACGTGAGTACCACTACCATCATTCAGAAGAGTGAGATTGTAATTGAAAACTGTCTGCTGTTTGTTTTTCTCTACAATCTGCCCTAAGATAACCCACTGATGCTGGAGGGCATTGAAATCACTAACAGTAGCAACGAGAGTGTTAAGCCCATCAACATCAAGTGGTTTGGAATGAGGACAGTAGAATGTACTAACAGCCAGGTACGCATCATTAAATTTAACTTTACATGTGAGTTGAGATTTGAATGCAATGGCATTCCACATGAAGGTAAAATATTATGAACCTAAATTGCGACTCAGTGCCCCTCATCTGTTTTATACGAGTGCTAGTTTCCAAGAGCAGCACCATCTGTGACTGAGTAGGTAAGAATTGTCTCGTGCAGACAAATAATCGAGGGTTGTTTAAGCTAGATCACCACAGTTCCACTGTAAGATAGAGTAGGTGTTGGTTTAAAAGTGTCGATTTTGATGAGAGCACTTACGCAGGATAAGAACTATATGACAAATCACTGCAAGTAATGTTAGTGCTGGATTACGATTTGAGCGAATTTAATCTTGATTCAGAGTTAGACTTCACAGGACGCAGAGGCGTTGAATATGCTAAGACATGGAAGAGAATAAGGAGGTAGTGACTCCTATTTGGGTCGACAGCTTGCCTTGCTTCTCAGCTTTGGGAGTGCAGATAAATCAAACAGGAGCAGGGAAAGGAGCTGTAAAGTGGCAGAAAGTATAATAGCGATATCAGACTTTGAAGAGGAAGGTTTGAATGACTTAGGCGATGGGGGGGGGGGGGGCAGGGACAGACTAAATAGCAACAGTGCACAGAACACGACGAGTTCATGTATCTGAGGTCTGGGGGTCTGCAACTTCTCAACCCTCTTTCATGCCTACCATACGACAAGTTCCGTGCTGTCTCAAGCACGGACTTCCTTCCCAGTCTTGTAATGGGGATAGCCCTGGTCAAAACTGGGATGGACGCCATTGCAGTTAAGACAACGCCTAACCTGAGATCTGCTCCTCACTACCACGTTTACCACAAAGAGGATCAGCAGTGCAATTCTCAATGGTTAAGATATACGTAATTTACCTTGGGGTTGTGATCTACCAAAATATAAAGATCTGCACAGTGGAACCCCCCAACACTTTCCTTGGCCGCGTCTTTAACTAAAGGCCGCTGTGAGTAACAAGACCAACAATTGCCATGAAGTTTTCGGGTGAGTCATATCATATTAACACAGGACATTGATACACAGATCATCGTTCATAGCTACAATGGAGTCAGGCTTTTGTTCCTGAGTATTCATTAACTGGTTTAGTATTTCAAACTATCTGGTATTTCTCAAGTGGAGATTTGCGTTTACAAATGCATCTTAAGGTTCTTTCTAATTTTATTACCATCTTAATTTTCACTGTTTTCCAACACTAAGTGTGCCACTGTGAGAATTTTCATGTTATGCTGACACTAATATCTGTACAATCAATCAATCAAATTTATTTCCACATGATACATCGTTAGTACAAAATTGTAAGTTGCAATAATAATGTGGAAAGCCCCTTAGTTATACAGAGCATTTCTGGCAAGCTTAAACCTTTTAACTTATTGTCCTGACTGGCTTACAGGAATGTCTGTGCAACTCTCCTACAGTCTCATCTTAAATAAATTTCTATCTATGATTTTTTAAGTTCAAGTTGATTTTCTTTTTGTAACTGTGACCTGTCTTTGTCCCCCCATCAACATTTCCCCCTCTTTTTTTTTACTATCAGCCTCCCCCTTATGGCGAACTGAATACCCCATGCATGTTCCGTGCTTTCTGAATTAATAAGAAAATATACAGGGAATTTTTAATTCAAAATTTTTAAACTGTTTGACATCCCTGGCAACTTTTTCTCCATTTTTTAATAAAGGGTTAACTTAACCTTTAAAGGGGGGCCCCCATTAAGCCAGCAAAAAAACCCTTGTCCTTTTTCCCTAATTTTCCCTTACCTAACCTTCTCATTAATTAAATTTTGATTTTTTAAAACAAACCAGTTTGTTTTTAAAATTTTAAGCGCGGAGACGCGATGAAGACGAAAACGAACATTCTGCTCTTGATCTTCCCCGGGCGGGTCATAGCAGCTCTCCTTACTTTCAGTCCCCTCGCCCCCCTTGGGGGGGGGAAACCCTTTACCACGTTTTTCACCTTGACTTGCAGATGACTACGCAAATCGTGTCAAGTCAAGCCAACAAGTGGTACCGTTGATGATTCAACGAAGTTTTGCCTTGCAACTTTGTTAAAGGAAACTGAAAGTTAAATTCTACACCATTTTGCTCAAAAGAAGCATTCATTTTTTTGTGTTCAGATGATGCTGAAGCAGAGAAGCTATTTCACTACAGATGCCCACCATACACTTATGCTCAAGGGTTTTGTTTTCTTTCCCCTCCCCTCAAGGCCAGGAAATCATATTCCTTAAAAAATAGGACAAGTTTCTGCTTCAATCACCTGCAGAACCAAGACACCATCGAGACGCAAAATACTTGGGCTACGTTGCAGCATCACAAAACCCCAAATGATCCCTGTAAAGGGTCCCTTCACTGCGTTAACAGGGCTCCCACGCTCTGAACGAAGGCTTGTGTTTTTTTACTACTTCACTCCAACTTACATCGAAGAGAAAGTATCATACATCCACATGCTGGAACTTTTATTTTACCATACAACCAAAGCATGTCCAGAAAAAAGAGAAGAATTCTGCACTACATGTGGTATGAGGGACAACCTTCAGTTCCTGCCCCATTGCTACTCCACCAAAACCATCTGCTTAAACTGAAAAGAAAAACGCCCACCATCCCGGCGAAAAATTTCCTACACGTAAGGATATTGTAAAAGAAAACAAAAGAAGCAGCAAAAAAAAAAAAACCTCTGAAACCCCCAAACGTTCAGCAATTGAAAAGATCCAAGCTAATACTACAAAATTACTTCAACTATCTCAGCCAGCCTCCACCATCATACTCCTCCCGCTTGTGAAGTAACCAAAATCCACTACGCACTATACGTCAAATGCAGAATATGGCTGTACCTGGATTTTTAAATCTACCCTCAACGAGTTATTTGCAAAAAATTGCCATCATTTATTTCCCAGATCTCCACCTTCGGAAAAAAATACTCAAATTTACCCAAGGATCTAATCAACACTTCTGCATCACACTCCAAAACCCCCAAACCTATGCTCCTCCAACAAGGCCTCCATTCGTCGATCGCCTCCTTCTCGTGATTGGTCGTCGTGGCGGGGTACCTCCCCCACCTCCCCCCACCACTACTCATAGGACCCCAAAACAGAAGCCACGTTTTCCCCCGTCTTTTTACACCTCTCTACGGAGAACCCACATTGAAAGAACCTTCAATGCGGCAACCCCCAACAAAAAACCTTTCCCCTACTCCGACGTAATAATATAGAAGACCAACATCAAGATAATACCCGCACGGAAAGATATAAACTTTTTTTAAAAATCCGACCAAAAACCAACATGGATGTCGACACTTTGTCAAGAAATAATCGACAGTGAGTCAAGTTTACAAAAGTAAAAGGGTCCCA